ACACATTGCTTTCATCTCTTCTCCATGTCTATCTCTCTCTCCAGATTTCAGAGATATAAGCGATTCTGCTTCAAAGATTAAGTAGGTTTTTTTGTTCCGAAAATCTTTTTTTTTCAAGAACCTTATTCAATTTTCGAGTTAATGGTGAAAAGGAGAACAAATGGATCATCTTCTCTGAACGGCGAAGCTTTCGAGATTCTCCAAACAAAAAAAAACATTGATTGCATATATTGTTGTGGTCAACATTTCGCAGACAAAAAATTATATTATTAAATAATGGTTTATAAATCAAAATAAATAACATGTCCACGAAATTATGACCAAATTTTGAATTTGCTTGTTATTCTTTTTTTATTCTTTGTCGTAAATTTGCTAGTTATTCTTGATTTGTTTATTATGAACATGTATAAAAATGTTATTATAGACGACTATGTGTTTATAGACATATATAAAAATTATCTAATCCCAAGTCCCAACTATTAATCCAATAAATTATTGTGGACATGACTATGTAATTAAAATACATAGTTGTAATTATTTGTTAATTTTGTAAATTCTTGCAATTTTTGTTACCTAATCTTGTGGATAGGGTATTGTGTACATGTTATTATAGGTAAGTATATAGTTAAAATGAATAATTAAAATATTTGTGGATAAGTTATTTATAACAATCTCATAAAATGTAATCAACCCACTCTTCAAACATGAAGTGGTGAGAATAAAGGAGTTTTGATTGTGACAAAAAAAAAAAAAGGAGATTTAATCAAAAATACACATAAAATCACCTATAAAATCGTTTTTGATTCAAGTAGTTGTGGTTGCTTGATCTGGGAGTTGGATGCCACTTTAATTTCAAAATTAGTTACCAAATATTTATTTGTTTGCAGAATGGAATCAAGGTCCAACAAGAAATTTAACCGCTTTTAATTACAAAAGCCGTTTGACTTTTAGGATATGTAAACATTTTGTCTTAATGGTGATAGAAGAAGGGAGTTGCTACAAGACATGGAACAGGAAGGAACATTTGAGTTGTCAATAGTATTGCTTATGCTCGCAAATAATGCCTAGGTAGAGTCTGAATCTTCGACCTAGGCAGTGAATGGCAGTGCGGTACGGCTCCGGTCCGGTGACCCTAATCGGAGAGCACAGCTGAATGGGAAAACGACTTGCTTGCGACGAGATTCATCTTAGATTGGCAAGCGATTCGTGTCACTAATTTAACTCTTAACCCAATCGATACACCATCACACTTTAAAGCTGCGATTCGAGTACAGCAAGTATGTTTCACATGTATATTGACAATTATACCCTTGTTTTCTCCTTTTAATCCTTTATCGAGCATAGCAAATCTGATAATTTTTAGAAAATTGCGACTTCCATCTCCGAAACTATTCGATAGTTTTGTTTTCAGGTATGTTCGTTGCTTATGATATATTATATTGGACCAGAATAGGATTAGAGGTTGTGACGAATCAATTGGTGATTATTTTGAAATTACATACGTTTTTTTACTTAGACATTTTAATAGATTTATTGACTTTTGGTTCTAAAATAATACTAAACTGTATTGCACATATATAAGATGTTTGACGAAATGTCTGACTGAAGTAATTGTGTTGTTCCTCATTTTTTTACAGAGATTTGACTTAGTTTCTTTATCAAGACTACGTTTCTTATGATATATAATTTTTATTTGCAATTTCAAAACTTGTTGTTTACAGTTTTGAGATAATACCAAAGCGACGAAGATTGGAATCTCCTAATGAATCAACTATTGAGGTATGTAATTTGGTATATGGATTTTTCAGCATGTAAAGATGATATATATAAGTTTTAGGACTTTGATCTCTTCTTAAGCAACTTTTGTTTTACATTTTTTAGGACTTGACAAATTGGTATTATGGAAATTCTCGTTTGTTGCTTCGTCTATTTATTGAGAGTCAAAGATCTGATCAGTTATGTGATAGAATATTACTGAGACTTGATCGGGGACGT